CAATTGATATAGTAAACTACATTTTATTTATTAAATGAATGAATATTTAAAAGATTTTTCATTACAAAAATAAATTATTTACGTCAAACGGTTAAAAAGTAAACAACCAAATGATTCCTAATTATAAATGCATAATTTCAGCCTTAAATCTCTTCTACTTTAATTAGAAATTGAGAGTTTGTTGGACAAAAGTAAATTCAGTTATACAAGAAGACATATATGTATATATACTTGCTACTCTGGTTAGTTATTTGACTCGAAGACTAACCTGTGTCAAACCTAAGAAGAAATATTTGTCCAGCATTCTCGGCTCTTCAGGTAGTTTGTTGACAAGTATCAAAGTCTGAAAATTGCTATGTTTTTGTGACTCAGATTAGCAAACTGAATAAAATGTAAAAAATTTGGCAATCTAGGAAAGTAGTCTCTTATTTTGTAAAAACATTTGATAGTTGGAGAATCATTGAACATTTTCCCCTCATTTTAATGCTTCCTTATTTCGGCTTTTCTGCAGGTGATGTTAGTTACTGATGAAAAACAATTCAATGAAAATCTGTATAAATGATTTCAGGTTGTCAAAGATTGGTTGAAATTGGAGTATTACTGAATACCAGGGGGAGCTGGACATTGTCTTTGTTACAGTATGAGACTCTTTGAGGTCTAAAAACATTATTGTTAGTGGTTCAGCACTAATTGAAAAGCTCCATGTCCGACCTCTTCAAGGGTTATGGTTCCTGAAGATTGACATACTAGAGTAAAACACCCATTCGGTTATATCCCAACAAAATCAATCAATTACAAACACCACTGTTAAATCAGGCTCAAATCTAAACAATCTAAGTGAATCCAACTATCTGACATAATAATACATTACTTTTTCGGAAAAAAAACCTAAACCAAATGTTTCGGTAATTCATATATTATGGAAAATTTAGTAGTATAGATATTCATGTATACAACTAGTTGAGAATTACTGCTTATTTAAAAGCATACAGTAATAAACAGTCATATTGAGTTATAATTTGGTTACCATTATTCATGTATTAGATAAGTTTGTTTAAACAGCTGCTAATCATTCAACAATAAGAATCTGGTAAACTTGTTTTGTCATTATTAACAACATAATAATAAGCTAATAATCCACTTGCAACAATAAATAAATTAAATAGCGTTAAGATTATTAAGCATATGTTTGAGAAATTCCCAAAAGAATATGATATCTAAGGAATACCCTTATAAGAAAGATAATGAATTCATGATGTTAAAACATACACTGAAATTATGATATTTAAAGGAAAAATAAATTATGTAAACCATAACATGAAAAAATGTAGTTCCTATTTCAATTTCAACGTCAGAATGATGTTGGGAACACAGGTGAAGATAATCAGAATCTCTTAGTAAAATCTGAGAAACATATAATAAATACTTCATTTACACTTACATACGAGCAGTATTATTGGCGGCCTGTTTAAACATCTGGGCTACCTGTTCCTGTCATCTAGATATTTCAACAAATTATATAATTTCGTTTGTTTTAATACATCATTATGCCTATTAATCGCACAATCTATTCAGGTGCGTTTTTGAAAAATGTAAGACCTTTCGCTGTAAAGGTTACAGAAGGCCTAATTAGAGATATCGTGGTTTCTGGCAATATGCAGCGATAAGAATGTACATTATCCAGATGTCGATTGACTGAGGCGCTAACATCTAACTGGCTATCACTTAATATTTATCATCAGGAAAGACGAAGAAGTAAGAAACGGAAACTTGTTGAAGTACTTTGTGCTGAGAATTCTATATTGTACGAAAAATATAATATTGAATAAAGCTAATAATAATAATAATACAAAATGTCAACCAGTTTTCTCACATTTGATTGTTCTTTCGTTTCCACACTAATCATTCTCTATTTTCATTCTCTTTTTTTCCGATCTTCTTAACATTGTGCCGCTAGGCATGTCATTTTCGATTGATAATACACACTACTTATATCTGTCGTCATCAGTAGCACACATCAAACCATTATCAATTAAGCGATATGATCAAGTTAAAATTAGGCGACCGTTTTGTTAAAAATGTAAGATCTATAAGATCTATACCAAATACAAGATTGAATGTGAGATCATTTTAAATCATAGAATTAATAATGGAATACATACCAATGATATGTATTTGTAAAGTATATTAAACGTGAATTCACATGGTTTTAGTACTGGTAACAATAATTCCTCTTCGGTTAATTATCTATATACAATTATATAAAATACATTTCCGATTCAATAACTTCAGTTAATGTCGAAAGTATGGTATAGTTTCAAAAAATTGGTTGATAAATGATGAATACATTGAACATTTTATCAGCACTGATTACAGACTACCTCATTAAATTCTGGTAACCATACAGTTAACAGTTAATTTGCAAAATAACAATCAATTGTCTCAATCTTAATTGTTCCTTCTGTAAATATCAGTCCGTCTTCTCTGATTTCATTGTTCATGCATTTTCATACCGATTGCGCCTCATTACTGTTCTTTCCTTCTCGATCTTCTGCCAAAATACATTCTATGCCTGACCATCACCATATACTACTTATATGGATATAAGTAGACCACACTACAGATTTTATATTAGTGATAAGTGCCTACTTTTTTGGAGAATAATCTATTATTCAATTTCATTCTTGTCAGTTAATTTGATGTAATCAAAAATAATTAGTAGTGATTTTTCTTCAACTTAGAAAGTAAACATACTTTCGCTTTTCGTCCTCTCAATTTTGTAAACAACACTCTCTCCACGAGAAGGCAGTGAGTAGGACTTTCCTGGGAGAGGCTGTATGCACGTGGCCGCGTGAGAGCATTTCGAGAGAGAGGGCGGGCCGTCCCTACTCTCAGCCGTATGAGGGCATTTGGGGAAAATACTCAAATATAATTATAATTAACAGTGGATTGAATTCCATCAAGATTATCTGTGCATTATGTGTTACTTCTAAATGAAATTTAATTCAAATCGTAAAACTAATGAAATGTATTAATAATTAAAAATGTTTAGGATGACTACCTGTAACAACTGTAATCTTGTGTAACGGTTTCGAAGGAGGGCAAAAAGTGAACAGTAAATTTTAAATGTTGCCTTTAAAGAAGCACAAAAGAGATGTTCATCATAAGTAGTATCTAGAATAATTTCATTTGGTTTTCTGTAATGAATTAAACACTTATTGGTAGACACTTTCTATAGTTTGCATACTACATAGTAATAATAATAATAACCAGCCCAAGGTATTTGAGAAATGGATGTACTATATAAAGATAAGTTGCGTCTATAATAGAACTAGTTATTTTCATGTATTCGATGTTAAACACTCCATTAATCTAGTTTAACCGTCAAATTGTACGAGCCATGAATTTGCTTTTCTAAAAATAAACCTACTACTTGCTTATAAATAGTAGTTAAACACGTTAGAAGGAAAATGTTGGCTCGTTAATGCATTCTTATTATTTAAGTTTCATTTGAAGAGGGACTGTTGGATTTATCATATATTCCTTATTCACTTCTTTGTTCACCATAATTTTTATCTGGCCGATGTGTATGTACCTTGAATTACCTTGTTACTCTTCATTTATTTACACTAGGCTACTGGAAATAAACAAACCGAAATTTACTAACCAACATACATTGTAATTTATTTTTATTTCTAGAATATTACGGTATTCGAAAGTTTCACAGTTATTCGAATTATTACACAAATAACCTTTACCTAACGAGTTTTGCACGCTATGTGCTATATTGTCCTATAACTGCCTGTTTTGAGGATTAGTTGTAAAGGAGGCTTATTTTCTGATGATGTTCCATTTGATTAAAAAGTCAAATAACTTCAAGATGACAACAGTCCTTCGTTTCAAGGAATTTCAGACTATTATTTTTCTACTTGTCAATAACTTTGTTTGTTTCGATAATCTTTCAGTTTAATTTGTACTGTTTCTCTTTCTTAAAGCAGTGACATAACCATGCACTGGTTACATCATCAACCTTAAGTTTATCACATTACTCGTATTATACTTTCAAAGACATTTCTGATTGGCTTTGATGTCCCAGGATAGGAAAACATTTATTTAGCAAAAGACAAATCATATATGTTTACATAATAAAACTTGCACTCTTCGAAAAGTCTTCCAATTTAGAACTTATCCAAATTTTTAATGGTCCTATATCTGACTTCAGTTGGTTCGGACAAATGATCATTATCGAATGATTGCTGTCGAAATATACATCCTGGATACCCTCGTGCATAACCATCGACTTAACTCGTGTCAGTGAATAACGGAATTAAGTCAAATATAAGAATAGATTTCCGATACGTATATTTCATACAATCATTGATCCAGACAGACGATCAAAGAAACGAAGAGAATAAGAAAGAATGAAGGCATGTCAGCTAACTCGTTTTTATTAGGCGTGATTCAATATTCATAGTCAGACAAAAATAATTCATAGACACACGGCAAATAGGGTAAGTGATTGGCACACATACGATAATCTGAACACAGTCAGAATTAATAAGCGAATAATTGACAAGGTGAAAATGTGGCTTGAGATGAATGAATAGACTGACCAGTTCAGAGGCTAAAATAACCTATGTGGGTTGGCATAGTACTAGTCCCTACAAAGTATTTGAATGTAAAAATGATGATAAAGGATATGAATTCAAATGAGTTTAATAAAACTATATGTACTTTATAACAATGTTGGAAAGAGGAGGAAAGTTTAAATATTATCAAAAATAGCTGTAAGATGTTTTCAGTGTCTTTTAAAAAAGAACATTCAAATTAACAACGTTGATATTTCCTCAACAATCATTGCTCCTTGAGAGGCAGTCTGAATTTGTGTACTTCAAGTACTTGAAAGTTCATTTATTCATTCACTATACAGTAGTAAATCCTAAATCATCTTTCACTATTTCCATAAACAATATTCGTTTATTTTATCATTCAAATTTCAGGTCGAATAAAACAAGGGTTGATATGAGAAGAAGATTATTTAGGAAGCTTGGATACAAATCGGCAAATGAAGTAAGCTCTATATCTTTTAGCATATGCTTTATTACTACTTTTAGTTTGTAAGTAGCAAAACATATTTCACAAATATATTTTTGTCTACTCGAAACCGTCAATTTAGTCCAAATCCTCTAGTCTACTTCAAATAGCAGGAATCATGTATGTTTGGCGGGAATCAACAAAGTATACTTGACTTTCGATTGACTCCCACACGTTAATAACAGTTTAATTTCACGAATTACATCAACAAGAGAAGACACTTCCCAATATTTTGTGATCATAGTCTTTTGAAACATTCATTCACCGAGTAAACTACATAAGGGAGCTGCTATTGTTTCTTCCTGACCTTTTTTAAATAACTTGGATAACTCATCAGAAATACATAATCTATGCTAGTGGAAACTGCTTCCACTTCTTATTAAGTTTTTTGAACTATATTCATATAATCAAATATATGATATAATGAACTAAATTAAACCAGGTTTCTTTTCGATTATATTCTTCATGTGACATTGTCTAGGTGAATGCAAGTATGATTATGTTCATTACGAATAAAGAATCGTCAATACTATTTTTATAAATTATTATTTCTCAATGGTCACGAAATCGAAGTTAATCTACTATAACTTTGTAATATCCCATGGAGATTTATGAATGGTAACTCTGAGGACTGTTTATGAATCAATATGATATACATATTTCCTATTGTATAATTTTTAAGTAACTAAACTATTCGTATTCTTGTCCCTCTTATTATAAGCTTTATTTTGACCTATGAACTATTATAATACGATTCACCATTCTTGAGTTATCCCTAGTTCATTAATTACTGTTCCCTCTATCCACAGCCACATTTTGTCAAATCTTGTACAAATGTTATTTTCTATTTTAAGGTACGATGTGGTCAGTTTGTTTGGTATGTAAATCCAGTATGTTTGAGAATAATGATTCATATTGCAGAGGCTATTATTGGTGTTCTGGACTTAACTGGCTGGTCTAGGAAGAAGGCAGGACTGATAAGTATTCAAGACTCCTCGGACATTGCTCTGATCGATAATTCACTCCTCTCTGATTAGCGGGGATTATCATGTCATATATTAACTGGACAAACACGCTCATCACACGATATAACAAACTTAATATATTGAAAATTCTCATATTTTACACATATTTGCAAAATACATTTCAGTTAATTCTGTTCAAATCTAAATTAGTATTTGTGGGAAATCATATGGAAATATGGCTCCTTCCATCTGTTACATTACATGATATCATCAGTTACTCAATGAATCTCTGTACGGTGAAATGTTTTGAAGTAAATTAAAATGGTACAGATGTGCTAATTGTATTATAACAGATACATTCTCAAGCGAAAATTCTACGATGTTTCAAACCGTGTATCACAATTTCTGTTCTTATGAGTACTACATTTATTTACATTGAAGAATAGAATCACATTTGCTACTCAGAGTCTAATATTTGAACATACATTAGTTCAATAAATTACATTACACTGAATAATTGTGTAGATTAATTTTCAGATTTTCTTATTGGATTAAGGAAAATCCTTTCAATATAAACCTTATAAGACTATATCGAGGCAATACGCACAGTATGCACATATACCAATTGGACACTAACCAGTCGCAGTCCTAAACATCAGTAGCTGAATGGATACCATGATGGTGTTTGAAGTAAAAGTTACTGGGTTAGAGTCCCAGAGTGAACATCAACTCTGAGATACTGGTACATCCAGCTGAAGAGTTTCGAACAGGCCAAAACGCATGTCCTGGATATCATTGCTAGCCACTATCCATCTTTGCTTATAGATTTAGTTATTTGTGATCAAGCTCAAGTGGTCATCCTTTCAGATGTATGAGAATTATTTTTTCTTTGGTTATAAACCGAATGTATTTGATGATAGTTCCTTAAAGGACCCATAATATATATCTTATTAGTTACAGCACTATTTTGAAAGTAAAGTTAAACTAGGTTATCGCTTAGATTACTAGCACAATAAACAGTTGAGCTTCATGTAAACTATAACACATCGTAAATTCTTATTTTATTCATTCATCCAAGTACAAAGAATAATATCCTATTTTAAAAAGGCAACAATAAATAGTAATATATAATCAATGTGACTTGTTTTAACTAAAATCATATTGAATTTCATCCTTATTTTTCCAAAAGACTAATCATTCATTTATCAGTTCTGTCATTAATGATTAGTCTTTTCCGTTGATTGTAAAATACTGACCAATATAAACTTTAACATAATTTTACTAAATTCATTATTATTAGAAGGGGTTTTTTGTTAAGATTTTAGTCATTTTATATAGTTGAAATCAATTGGTCAATTGAAGCTAGATCACCATAGAAAACCTGGAAGCACTGGACGGCCGTTTCGTCCTATTGTGGGACCGTCGATGAGCACTGCTGAGGAGTCCTACAATATAACGAGGCGGTTGTCCAGTACTTCCAGGTTTTCCATGGTGGTCTAGCTTCAAATGACTCATGATTTAAACTATACCAATTCATTATTACCAAGTATTCATCTAGATTTTAGATTGTTGAAATAGCGAATCTTTTCATTATTGTCAAATAGTAATTATAATCTTATAGAATGCTGGAGAATTCACTTAAATGTTAAATTAAGTTTAGTTAATTTAAATATCTTTAAAAAAATTTTTATAGTTGAATTCATTAGTCAATTAAAGCTAGACCATCATGGAAAACCTGCAAGTACTAGACGATCATTTCGTCCTAGTATGGGACTCCTCAGTAGTGGTCTAAAGGTCCTCGGTTCAAATCCCGTGTGGCGATATTGTGGGTGCGCACTGTTGAAGAGTCCCATACTAGGACGAAACGGCGGTCCAGTACTTTTAGGTTTTCCATGGTAGTTTAGGTTAAATTGACTCATGAATTCAGCCATTAAATTACTAAAATCTCCAGAAAACTCCCCTTTATGATATGATTTTTTGTTTGATTACATCAAGTTGACTTGACCTATTCACCATTAATTGTATTTGAATAAACTGGAGACATTGGATTCAGTCTCGGAAACATTGTGAAACTCCTCTAATAACAGCTGATTATTTATATCAGCAACCAAATAATGTCAACTATTTCAAATTAATAATGATTGATATAGATTGTTTATTTTGTTTTTATATATTAATCGCCAAATTTTATAACTCATAGTCAATCAGATGACTATCATGTGTTGTTGTTGTTATTATCATTATTTCTCCATTGTGATCAATACTCGTTATGGCTAGAAATTATTTGTGACTATCCTATAATCAGACCACATATATATAACTCATCCCTAATTGTATGGTCAATGATAGATTTTATTTTTATTGTTCTATATATACATCTATTTTCGTTTAAATGTGTCCACAATATTTATTGCCTAATTCATTTATTATAATGTATTGACTATTCACTTCATTATACTCATATTCTATACTGTAGAGAGAATAAAAACCGCCCACCTAAACCATTTTTACTCAATCCAATGTAATAATATTATGCCTATCTATCTAATTCTTTTCTACTCAGTTTGTTATTTTGCTTGAATAATATATATACAGATAGATGTACATACAATTGGTCTATGAATGACTTCTCTCTTCGTTTCATGTAGCCTATAGGGTAACAGCATATTAGATTGTAAAGCTAAACCCTTTATTGATTATTCAATAGTATACATACATGGGTTTAAAAAAAAATATATCAGCTTCATTAAATTTAATAACAAAATTTTCAGGGGATCTTTCCCTAAGAATATTACAAATCTATATAGTGAAGGCAACAACCTGGGTCACTTTCTGATTAATATACAATTATACAAGTGTATATTAATTAAGTAGACTATGATAAAATGATATTGAAATGAGGTGAAATATATATATGAATCAAATAATTTAATAAACATATCCCCTTTCTGATGATTAATCATAATGTTTAAATTTTTTTGATCCCAATGGGGTTAATAAATAAGAATTTTTTATTATAATCATAGTTACCATGATCATTAAAATATTTGTTGCCATGGTAACAGTAATAATAGTGTAATTTATAATTTGAAAAATATCGATTTCATTTGATTACTACCGAAAAATATCGATTTTTTTTGTATAAATATATACAGATGTATTTATCAGAAAATACCTCATTAACAAGTGAATCTAATGGATATATAAATAATGCAGGAAGATTTCGTTCAGAAGTTAATGTAATTCCTAATAGAAAAGTCAAAGAATCATCACCTAATTATCTTAATTCAATATCATTTGATTTATCATTAAAAGTGAAAGATTCACCAATATCATTATCAAAAAATCATTTATCCATTGAAAATTTTGAAAATACAAATGATGATGATGATGATAGTGTTAAAAATTATGATTGTTTATCTATATCTGATGAATTACGATCAAATGAAGGCGTACTTAATCTTCATCCAAGTGGTTTTAGTGATACTCAACTTATTGATCATTTCAGGGATAGATTACTTACAACATCATCACGAATACAACAAAGTCAAAGATCATTACAACAATCCTCATATGAAACTGGATTAAATCAGTTATATAGTCCTGAAATTCCACCAACTTCAACAATACAAGCAACAACACAAACATTTGGAACAGATAATAATGTGACAAATTTTGATGATGAATACTTTATGTTTGATCATGATCCACATTCAATTTATTATAATAATTCAGGAATGAATTTTAAATCTACTACTACACCATTGCATTTAGAAAATCCTGAACGTGAGACAAGATGGTATTTCAAATATTTTCTTGGCAAATGTAAGTGACTGTTTTACGTTATCCATATATATATATATATATATATATATATATATATATATGCACATATAGTTCATTTTTCCGTCTAATCCTTTTGTTTTTTTATATAGTTAAGATCATGAGTAAGTTGAAGCTAGACCACCATGGAAAACTTGGATGCCGGCTCAGTGGTCTACCGGTTAATTGTTCTAGTGCTAGACGGGTAGGTCCTGGGTTCGAATCTCTTGAGGCGGGATCGTGGATGTGCATTGCTGAGGAGTTCCACAATAGGACGAAACGGTCATCCAGTGCTTCAGGTTTTCGATGATGGTCTAGCTTCAACTGACTCATGATCTTAACTATATAAAATTACTAAAATCTCCACAAAAACCTTCATGTGATAATCCTTTTTTAATTTCAGTGACGTTTCAACAAAGTGCTTCATTAGTCCAAGATAGTAATGCAAAGAATGATAAAAAACTTTCTGTTAATAGTTCAACATAATTTCTAACTCAGAAAATTATAGACTAGTAAAAGATCTGTTGATGTTTATTTATTTATTTATTTAGACACATAAAAATTGGTACTAAGCGGCGCCAGATACATATTCGCTGTGATACTGCCGGGGTGCCCAAACCGAAGCATGTTGTTGATGTTTAGCAGTTAGATTAACATTTGGAAATACTAAAATAATGATTTACTAGTTACTTGTAATCAATGGAACACGTACATGACTAGAAATGAAAAATTAACAGCAAAATCTCTGACATATATTTACTTACTTACTTTACTTACTCCTGTTATTCCCAATGGAGCATAGGCCGCCGACCAGCTTTCTCCAACCCACTCTGTCCTGGGCCTTCTTTTCTAGTTCTTTCCAGTTCTTGTTCATTCTTCTCATGTCTGTCTCTAGTTCTCGGCGTAATGTGTTCTTTGGTCTTCCTCTTCTCCGTTGACCTTCAGGATTCCATGTGAGGGCTTGTCTTGTGACGCAATCGGGTGATTCCCTCAAAGTGTGCCCTATCCACTTCCAGCGCTTCCTCCTGATTTCTTCCTCCGCTGGAATCTGGTTTGTTGTCTCCCACAGTAACTTGTTGCTGATAGTGTCTGGCCATCGGATCCGAAGTATCTTGCGTAGACAGCTGTTGATGAACACTTGTATCTTCTGGATAATGGCTTTCGTATTTCTCCACGTCTCCGCCCCATACAGTAGAACTGTCTTGACATTTGTATTGAAAATTCTAACCTTGGTGTTGGTTGACAATTGTTTTGAGCTCCAGATGTTTTTCAGTTGTAAGTATGCTGCTCTTGCTTTGCCGATCCGCGCCCTCACATCTGCATCAGATCCACCGTGTTCATCAATGATGCTGTCCAGATATGTAAAGGTTTCCACATCCTCCAAAGCTTCTCCGTCAAGTGTAATTTGATTGGTGCATATTGTATTGTATCGGAGAGTCTTGCTTTTCCCTTTGTTTATATTGAGACCTACTGCTGCTGAGGCTGCTGCTACACTGGTCGTTTTCTCCTGCATTTGTTGTTGCGTTTGTGATAGAAGATCTGACATATATAAAGATTAAATAAGTAAATTTGTAAGTGACCTTTCCTAAGCTTATCCACACTTTATTACCAGTTACAATATTTCAAACTACCATCCGTTTGACTTTAATATTCATCATTACCATCTCTTAATAGTATGTAAAAACAAATATGAATATTGAGAGTACTATAAAACAATCATTCTTAAATTTGCCAACTAGTATATTATCACTTTACAATATGAGCTATTGTTATAAAAATTTCCAGAAAAACAAACGCACTCATTATTCGAAAAAAAAACAGAAAAGAAAAGCAGTCAGTAAACTTCTTTAATATGAACGTTATAATTGAATAGTCTCAACGACTGAAATTCAAGTACTTCTTATATTCCATCTTACGAATTAGTTTGAGCTCTTTTTTAAATATTCGCCTGAAGAAGCTCAGGACCATTTCCGGGACAAAACGCTTAAATTGTTTAAAATTAAATTACTATGAATTTTCAAACAGTATTTACATACAATATCTTCTTTATACTCGATATCTAGATTCTATTAGACTATTCGTTCGACTTCTTACAAAAGTTATATAAATTATTTTGCAAACCTCTTCCTTTCTGCTAGTTAACATTTTATATATTTGTGAATTATCAAAGTAACCCACAAATCTTTTGAGTTTAAATGTGTAAAACACAGACTTCAAGAGGTGTTTACATGTGGGCAAGACTATAATTTATGGACGAACCAATCAGATTTAGGATAACAGGTCTTGGATTATGGCACAAAATTCATTCACTTATTTGTCTAAATAGCGTTTTGACATTTTAGCTGATGTCAATTCGTAATGAATACCATAAATCTAAATCATAACTTTTACCATAAACTGTAAATTATAATCCTTATTTTTCATACAGGTTTAGAACTCTCATTTAGACCTAGTTAGTAGATGGACATTCTCAAGGCCATTTCAACGTTGCTCAAAGGTTATCCATAAATTATAGTCTCACCATCATACGAAATAGGAATCACCGAAATAGCGCAATTTCAACCAAACAGAACTATGCGAGCACAAATGAACGTATTGTATTTGAAATTCAAAATCAGACACACATCCGGTACAAAGGAATCATTAATTCATACAAACATCACATTTTAACAAATTTGTTGGAACCACTTTCGATAGTTGATGTATGGGCGAGAATGATAATGATTGATTGTTTTGCTGAGTCAGACATTAGATAATGTGACAGGTGTTATATGTGTTATATATATTTCACTGGTCACTGCTTCTCACTAGAGATTCTGGATGTGCTTCCCGAAGTCACTAGTGAGCATATGATTATATTACTCATCAGAACGGGTTTTGTGGAGATTTAGTATGTTTCATAGTTGAAAGCATGAATAAATTGAAGCCAGATCACCATCGAAAACCTGGAAGCACTGGACGGCCGTTTCGTCCAATTATGGTTGCTCAACTTAGTGGATCAGTTGAAGTTAGACATTAACACCGTTGGGTGCCAACTCAGTGGCCGATCGGTTAAAGGCTCTGGCTCGAGATGGTTAGGTCCTAGGTTCGATTCGCGCAGAAGCGAGTTTGTGGATGCGCACTGCTGAGGGATCCCACAGTAGGACGAAACTGTTGTGCAGTTCCCTGGGTTTTCGATGGTGATCTAGCTTCAATTGACCCATGTTTTCAACTATGAAACATACTAAATCTCCACAAAACCCCTTCTGATAATTTATATATATTCCCCTATCCTTGCTATGTATTGACTGTTATTGATAGACTGTTCCTTGTGTCGGGTTTTGGTGTGAAAATAATTTGACTTTCTAGTCAGGCTAATCACGTATTCTTGATCTGAGTTGTGTTGAAGTCTGGTAGAATAGACACTGGATGAGAAATCTAGTGTAGATATTCGTCTAAGGTAAATTAACCTCCCATATGCGTGTAAAAAGTGAAAGGACTGTTATAACAAGAAACCCTAGCGTTATAACAAGTATCCCACCGTTTATAACAATAGTCTTATTTGTTCAACAGTTAGTAATATTGAAAATTATATTTGTTATACGATAACCTTTTTCGTCTAATGGAATGAAAATTATTATTGTTCTGAATTGATGACTTACTCTAAGTATTCAATAAAAACACACATAAGTCAGTTCAATACAAAAATAACTCACACCTATATCTAAGCTTTTGCTGGGAAATGTATCCATATACGCATGAACCCAAAGAAAACATGTTCCATATAAATCAACTAAATGTTTTAGGCGACAACATGATCAAACTTGTTTAGTGATGATAAATATTCTTTCTTATTCTCCATTTTATCAATTAAACTTTTATAGACTAAAAACAGTTATGTGTTTATTATTATCAGAAGGGGATTTTTGTGGAGATTTAGTAGTTTCATAGCTGAAAGCGTGAGTAAATGAAGCTAAAACACCAAGGAAAACCTGAGAGCACTGGATGGCCGTTTCGTTCTATTGTGGGACTTATTAGCAGTGAGCATCCACGACCCCGCTTCGCGAGACTCGAACTCAGGAACTATCAGTCTCGCGCCAGAGCACTTAATCGATAGTCCACTGAGCTGGCATTCGATGGTGTTTATGTCTAACTCCAACCAATCCACGAAGTTGAGCAATCGTTCACCGATTGTCTTCAGTGAGTTCCTATCTCACAACAGACGTGGTTTGAACTCCACTGGTCACTGCTTCTCACTAGAACTCCAGAATTTACCTCTCGAAGTCAGTTACCAGTGTGCATAGGATATGTGAGCATATATCTGTTTTCATAAGAACAAATTAAGCTAAATCCTGACAGGTTATGCATTATTTGTTAGCAGCATTTACAAATTTATAAAACTTATTAAAATCAATGACGAACATTGGTTGATTGCTCAGTGATCACCTAATTTTTTTTAAAAATCGGTCTTATGGATTGAACTAAAATAATTTCAGATTACATCTTATAAAAAATTTACATGAATAACGTCATGGCATGGATTAGCGAAGTATGATGTATGCAAAATACTTAGCTTTTCGACAGTTCATCAGCTAACATTCACTCCAAGTTTAGGTATTATGTTGAATGATGTATAAATAGGATCGGCCTTTCTTTTTAGTTTTTAATTCAGATCATGAATCGGTGGAAGTTAGACCACCATTAAAGACTTGGAAGTACTAGACGGCCGTTTCGTCACAGTATGTGACTCGTCAGCATGGCGCATCCACGATCCCACATGCGAGATTCGAACCCAGGACCTTCGGTCGTGCGCGCTAACGCTGAAACTCTAGACCACTGAACCGGCATTCAATGATGCTATTGTCTAACTTCGACCAATCTACAAAATTTTGTAACCATCTATTGTCTGATGTAGATACCTGTCTCTACTTGACACGGATTAGTCCCACTGATCGCGCGAGACCGAAGATTCTGGGTTTGAATCTCGCGCGCATGATCGTGGGTGTGCATTGCTGACGAGTCCC